GACGAGAATGTGCCTAGAAGGAAGAGAACAATGATCTCATTGACCTACTTAACCTTTTGTGGGGTCTCTAATTGATTTGTGTACTAAGTCAGAGAGGATCTTGGGAATTTCTAGTTCTAGGTTGGTAATTCTCTGGAACAGAGGATGGTGATCTACTCAGCAGACATAAGATAGGTGTTGACAAGGAAAGATAATCTTAATCTGGGGACAGCATGCCTAGCTTTTGTAAACTGAATGACTAAAAAGCCATTATCCTTCGTCAGCTAGCAGTTAGAAGCCCCAGCTGGCCAACAAGTGGCTCTAATGAGATGAAGCCCAGAAACTGAGAGGAGGGACCAATCCCCAACAGAGGCGACCACACCAAATAGCCTCTATGAGATCCACGAGATGAGCAGAGCAGCTCACCCAGGGGAAATGCCAAGATGGGCAGGAAGTGGGCTCATTGAGAGTAACATGACAATGATGCCGGAAGACATAGATGATCCTGCAGCTTTAGAAATAGGAGTACCTCTTCTACTTACGGATCCCAGTGATCCATATTCCCTCCATGTGGAACTTTCCAAACGTGTGCTCTGGCCTAATGTGTTCCACCTTTTCCCACCAATGATATTTGTGGGAGAGGTGAACCTTAGGTACAAGGGGGAAATGTTCAATTATTACTTTTTCTTACTGTGCTATTTCAAAAAAAGACTTCGTTTTGACTGCTTTCTGTCTGACTAGAGAAAAAGGTTAACAAATGAAGTGGGTGGTGGGTGGGGATTGTGACCTATACTTTTGAGGGGATATAAATCCACAGAGTACCCTGGATCTGAGGGTAGCTGTTCTGGAAATGCCAAGAATGAAAAGGAATACCCCAACTTCTACACTTTTTTGACTTGGTTCTTTCCTTTAGACCCTCCAATTTGCCAGGATGATTATTATTTATATCCCTTCCTTAGGGGAAGAGCCATAATTAGAGTGGGACAATTGCAGCTCTGTTGACGTATGGGACGCTTTATCCCTGAGTCAGTCCTTTTCTCAACTTTCTCCCAGGCCTGCACAACATATGGCTCACAGGCTGCTTGCAGCCCACCAATGGATTTCAGGTGGCCCATGAAAAATGTAGAGGATGTAAAAGAAAGTAAAGATGTAACGAGTGCTTTGTCCATGCCCCACTTAACCCACCTTCAACTAGACACTATTGTGCCCATCATGTAATTTGTGGGTGGGCTGCACTATGCACTCTCTTCTATTTGTTTTGTGACCCACAGCAACCAGCTATGGACAGTCTGTCTCTAGTCTGAGAGGAGCAAGAGTAATATCTTGTTGCTGTGTTTTTGGTTGTTACCAACGTTGAACGGGGACAAAGTGAGTGCAGCCACGAGCCAATGCAACTGACACCCGCTATGCCATGAGCGGCAAGAACACGAGGGCTTCTTCCCCTCCCTCGCTGTGCTGCCTCCCTCCAAGTTACACGAGCGTCTGGCGCTCTCTCCAAAGCCAGACACTCACTTCAGTATATGAGCAGTTGCTGTGGAAATTTTTTGGTTCTGACATTAAAGTTTTTGGGGTGACTTTGTAAAATGGGTGATAAAAGTAGTAAAGGCTTTCTAAATGAAACCGAGGCTATTCAAAAGCCAACTGTCGAAAGGGGAAATGTGCCACTTTACTTTGTGTACGAAACATATTCCATTGTGTAAACATGCAGATTTAGGAGAAAATATTCAAATGACATTGAACTTTTGACAGGAGTTTGACAGAAGACTGACACTATCCAAAGAAGGTGACATTAAATTTAAGTTCATCGAAGATCCTTTCTCTGTGGATCCAACTCCCCATGCATTTACAGCTAGAGATTATGGGACTTCAGTGCTCAACTGTTTTATCAAAACAAACCCAGAGAAACCAGCCTTCAAGAGTTCTACAAGTATTTGGACAAAAGAAATTAAAAAATCTTCCAGATGGTGCATTATAGGTTTTCAGCATATTTGGGAGTGCTTATATATGTGAACAAATCTTCTCAAATATGAACTTGTATAAAAAGAAGCAATGATCAGCTCTAACCCATGAACACTTGGAAGATATTTTGAAAACATCTATTTCAAACATGATTCTGGAATAAGATTAACTGATTGCTGACAAGAAATATGATGCGGCCCATTAACTAAGTGTAAACAGTAAGAAAACCTGAAAAAATGTATTAAAATTTGTACCACTTAGTAAGACAATATTTTTTAACATTAATGTGATTTCATGATAAATAAAAATCTTAAGTAATAAGTGTAATTAATTGATATTAACTTTTTTTAATGTTTTTTAAAAAAATATGATTTATTTGCAAAATAGTTTAATCATTAACTATACCTTTACTTGGAAAGTAAGCCGATAAAAACCTGACTACAGCCTGGAGAAGTTTAGCCTATTTTAATTTTGGCCCCTACCTACTGCCAAATTGTGCAGGTCTATTGTACTATGGAGAAGTGGGAGGGTGGGGGGGCACTTCTCATCCCCCACCTCATGTTTAAATCAACTCTGCCATTGCTTCTGGGTGGGGTGTCTTAATTTTCTCTTCAAGAGTCCTATACACCATACCATTACCTTTCTACACCCAAGTGCCCCTCCTTTGGCTGCAACCCTCCATTGTGTGTTGTTTCCTCCTTTAGAATGTGAGCTATTTTCAGTTTTCATCACCAGTGCTTAGCATAGAGCTCTGTGTGATTATTATGCTTTGCCATTTCCTTTTCTACCTGGTTAAGGCAAATAGAGGTTAAGTGCCTTGCCCAGGGTAACACAGCTAATGTGGTTGTGGCAGGATTTGAACTTAGGTCTTCCTGACTCCAGGCCTGGGACTCTCTCCACTGAGCCACATAGCTGCCTTGAAAACACTTAATAAATATTTTATCATTCACTTATGCTGACCACTCCCAGCATAGAAACCTCACCTTGCTTGGCTTCAGTGATACTATATTGTACTGATTCTCTTATCTTTCAGACATTTTTGCTTTTGATTCCTAAGGAAGGATATACAGAGACTCAGCCCTCTTTTCTTCTTTCTGTTTTCCCTCTCTTTCAGAAGTCTTATCCATTCTCATCACTTCAAATAGCGCTTCCAACATTGTCACAAGTTTCGTAGATACTTCTACATAGTTCCTGTTCTCTTAAGAACCAAAATAGTGTGGTGTCACTATACTTGACAAGAAGGAGGTTTGGCCTCGAGGTAAATGTTTTCAATTATGTGTACTACCTCACTTGTCCAAAACCCTAATTCCAGACCCAAGCCACCTCTAGGCTCACTGAATTCAGTTGCCACCCAGGCTTCCTTTTCTTTCCATGTAGTCACCCTATTAAACTCTGGCTTTCCTCCTGCTTGGTGATGCTCCCAACTTCACTTCTAGTATTTGACACTTGGCCCTTACTCCATCTTCATAGATGAATGGGATGTCCCAGTGAAGACTTCTCAGTGTAATTAAGGTAATGAGTTCAGAAGGTAGTATGAGAAATGAACTCTCAGAAGTGAAGGCTCCTCAAAGGGTCAAATAATTCTTGATTGTTACTTCCAAATCCTCCCCTACTCAGACCCTGTTTTTAAGCACTTAACAGAAAGAATAAGCCCTGCCCCACCCCCAACCTGAGCCGTTTGTCCTTGGCTTCCGGCCTCTTTCCTTGTCTTTGAATTTCGTGCCTGGAATGTAAGCCTCACCTCCCAGCTAAGAGGATAGGAAGAAACTTTCAAGCTTAGAATGTAAGCCCCACCTCCCAGTTAGAATGTAAGCCCGCCCTCAGTTAAGGGGGTAAGGGATAGTGGTGGGTGGAGGCTTGTTTGCGTGGTGGGCGGAGATTTGCTTTCATAAGGCGGCCCCTGTTACTCTGTCTCTCTCTCCATGTATCAAAGGAGCAGACAGCCATCTTGCCAGATTGTAATAAAGGTAACTTTGCTTTCCACCTTGAGAAGTCTCTGAGTTTAATTTGAGTTGGGGTTGCCGTTCCAAACAACAGATAATCTTCCTTTGGGGATTTAGGGTAACAAGACTGTTTCTCTATGTGGTCCTCAATTGCAGTGTTTATTTCTTTACCTCTAAAACCTCAATATTTCAGTGGGCATAGGGAGCTAGGAAGGAGGAGGAAGTCATGAGGAAAAGATAGAAGACATAAAAAGAACCTAATTGAGAAAAAAAAGGACCAAAGTGTCAGTTTAAAAAATTTATCAGTTTTAGGATACAAGAACCATTGGCAGTTCTAATTTTGTGAACTGGTAAAAACACTATTCTCTGGGATTAATCCTCAACACATCTTGAGTTTAGTTAGAAACGATTAGTGCAGGGCATAGAGGCGACTTTAAATCCACTTAAATGTAAGCCATTGTGTGACTTCAGCCAGGCTACCTTTATTAACCATTAATGATGGTTTCTAGGCCAGCAGCATGAAAAATGAGTCTATGTTTTACAGAAATAATTTAATACTGCTTTTTCTTTTCTACCAAGAGAATTTGAACATCTAGCCAATCCTCTGTCCCAGCCAGTTGATATTCTAAAAAGAGCTTAAGTTCCCTTTTCTACTTTATGTTCTATCCTAATCTAATAGCTCAGCTCCTTTCCTATCATTCCATAAATCAAAGACTTAGAAATCTGTCTTTGAGTCTAATCTCCTCATTTTTCAGTAGAGGAACTGAGGCCCAGAGAAGTTGTCACTTGCCCAAGATCACATGCAGAGCTAATATTTGAACCTAGCTACTTGTCCCTCACCCTGCCCCCCCAGATCCAGAGATCCTGACACTGTATTTTGCCATTTGCCTATTATCCTATGCTCTTTATTAAAACCTAGCAAAAATGTTGGGTAATTATTAAATACTAACCTCTAGAAAACAAATAACAAACCGAAATCCTCCTCCAGCTGATATAAAAGAAAGAAGATAATGGACTTCTATGGTGAAACTGATCAAAATTTGTTCCTGTATCTCTAATTTAGGAAAGCACTGCACCAATGAACACAGGAGGGCTTAAAATATATCAGTAAGTACTAACCATGGATTTTGGTACCGATGAGTGATGGTATCCTCCAGAATCTACGAAATTCTCCTCGCTGTAAAGGGGACAAAATAATATACCACAGTTACTGACTGGATCCAAGCCTTTTCTAGTAGAAAGGTAGGGAGGAATCCTTGAGGGGGTCTGCAAAACAAAAGAGGCAAATCCGAATTGTATTTCAAGGAAAAACCAGAGGGTAGAGGATGATGCAAGCAAGCCAGTGTTTCATTTCCTGGACAGAAAGAATGAGAGGAAAAAATAAATTTGTTCATTCATTTGTGCTTGCATGAATTCAACAAGCATTTATTAAAACACTCGCTATGTGCAAAGCACCATGCTAGATGATTAGGGAGAAAAAAAGGTAAATAAAATATATCAAGGTGGAGGGGCAGAGTGAGGGAGATAGTAAGAAATGTAATAAATGTACACATATTCAACATTATATGCTTAATGCTTATTTAATAAATAGATGAATATTAAACAACAGTCATTTCACAGACAAGTTGCTTAACCTCTCAGTGTCCCGGGCAACTCTGTAAGATCAAGTTAAGGAAGAGCTGCTGACCCACACTAGAGGAGGAAATTTCCACATTCAGTTCCCTACTTTGACAATAAGGTAAGGGCAAGAAATTTAGTATATTGACAATCATATGGTGTTTATTTCCCAAAGCACTGTGCTCTGGTGATAGACCATAGTTATACAGAAGTAATGTTCAAACCTACTAATATGCATAATTATTCACCATTTTAATCATCTACAAAATTATCTCCTATTAATAATAATCCAAGGTTTTTTGTTACCACTTTTTTTCAACTTGCTCCCATTTTTTTTTTTGCTCTATGTTCATCTCATAAATATCCTCATCTCATCCCTTTTCCATTAAAAACATAAAGATAAAATTTAGAATGAAAAGAGATTATGGCCTACAGTTATTTCTCAATATCTCTGATCTAATAAATATTTATTAAGTGCCTATTATGTGCCAAGCACTGTGGATATTATTAATAAAGAGACAATCCCTGCCCTTAAGAAGCTTATACAATATAATGGAAGAAGACAACATGCAAAAAAAGGAAGAGGAAAAGAAGGGAGGAGACTAAGAGATACTAGGCATTATGGTCATCTGATTTCATAGTGTTGAAATAGGATGAGCAGTAGATGCTGAGTGGAATGAGCTGAAAAAATCCCATTTCTGCATTCTAAAAATGAAAGCATTTAGGGGTTGGGGAAGGCAAGGGAGAGTTTGGAATTCCACTCTCTAGCCCTCCAATCAAAGGGAAGAGAAGGCTGAGGTGGTGTCAATCAAGATTTGAGTTAGCAGTTTGGTGTTAGAGATAATGAGTTTAATCTGGGAGGGGCTGCATTTTCTGTGGAACTGAAACCAGAAATGGTGCTCACCAAATGGGCATCAATGCTTCACGGACTTGGGGGTCCTATTGTAGGAGAATTCTCTGGCAAATCTTGACTTGCTATATCTTTACCCATTCACAATCTGGGAACTTCTAAAGTCAACACAGATCTTAGACACTCAATTTTTACTGTACAAAAGAGAAACCCAAGCAGACAATTGCCTAGAAGCAGTAAAAACACTTAATTAGAATAAAAAAGTAAATACTAACAAAAACAGAAACATTCTCTGCACCCTTTGCTTGAATAAGTATCCTCTCTTCACCCTCTCCCCCAGTATAGTCCAAGAAGGAAGTTTCTCTTCTTTAGTTCCTAGAGAACAGAGCAAGTTTCAGTAGTCCAGGCCACTTTGGGAGAGTTCCAGGCTGCAGATCTCCAGAATTTGGGGGTCCAGGTGATTGCTCCCATTTGCTCTTGGCCGCTCACTGCTCATACCCTTGGTCATCATTTTGTAGCACTGGCACATTAGCCAGTTCCCACAGTTCTGCTGCCTCACTTTTCCTTGTAGCTCAGCTGGTAGCTTTGTCATCTAGCCCTTTGGGTGCTCCATCTCTCACCTTCTCTTTGCCTCAGGACTGCTATCATATCTGTCACATAGAGCAGCTCTGACACCTTCCTTCAATTATCTCCTTGCCACAATGACATGCCTGGCACTTCTAGACTAGCATCTCATGGGAATTCAAATTCTTAGCCCAGTTGTTAAGCTGGTCCAGCTCTTGGAGCTTGGAACTTCATGGAAAATAGAGTTCCTAAAATACAAGGACTTCAGAACTCTGATCTCTACAGTGACCAGTAATGACCAACAGTCATCAGAAGACTAATGATGAAGCATGCTTCTCACTATAGAAAGAAATGCACATTTTCAGACATGGACAAAGTGGGGATTAAAAAAAAAAGACACCCAGCTATACTTATTTGTCACAAGGGAAGGCTTTTATTGGAGAGAGGTGTTGAGTAGTTAATCATTAAACATTTATTAAGTGCCTACTATTTGGCAGGTGCTATGCTAAGCACTGAGGATATATACAAGAAAGGCAAAAAACAGTCCCTGCCTTCAAGGAGCTCACAGTCTAATAGAGCAGACAGCATGTTAACGATATGTACAAATAAGGATTAATCTGAAATAATCAGAGGGAAGGCAGAGAATAGGTCTGCTCAACATACAGCCCACCAAAGCATTTCGGGTGGCCTGTGAAAAATGTAGAGGCTATAAAAGAAAGTAAAAATGTAATAAGTGCTTTGTCCAGGCCCCACTTAACCCACCTTCCACTAGTTACTACTGCGTCCATCATTGAACTTGGTGGGGGTGGGGGTGGGGTGCCACTGCTCACTGTCTCCTGTTTGTCACATGACCCTTGGCAACCAACTATCAGTCTGTCTCTAGTCTAAGAGGAGCAAGACTTTTATCTTTTTGAAGTGTTTTTGGTCATCACTAAATGTAAATGGTAAGAAAACCTGAAAAATTTATTAAAATTTGTACTGCTTAGCAAAGTAATTTTTAAACATTGATGTGATTTTATGATCAATAAAAATCTTAATAAGTATAATTAATTGATATTAATTGAAATTTCCCTTTTTTAAAATGTGATTTATTTGCAAAAGAGTTAATCATTAATTATACCTTTACTTGGAAAGTATGCTGCTAAAAACCTATCTGCGGCCCAAAGAAGTTTAGCCTAATTTTGGCCCTTACCTATTGACAAGTTGTGAGGGTATGCACTAGAATTTAAAGGGATTGGGAAAGGCTTCCTGTGGAAGGTGGGATTTTAGCTTGGGCTTAAAGGAAGCCAGAAGGTGACAATGAGCATTCCAAGCATGGGGAATAGCCAGTGAAAATTCCCAGAACTGGGAGATGGAAGATCTTGCTCTAGGAACAGAAAGGAGGTTGATGTCACTGGAAGGAAGAGTGAGTGATGTCAAAAAGGAAGAAAGAAGAAGAAAGAGGAGAAGAGATCAGATGGGGATGCATAGAAGCAGAGTAGTTTTCATTCCATTGTGTTAAATGTGCTATACAACACTTTTTAAAAACTGTCATAAAAGTTTCACATGGGATCTTTTCCTGTTCTTTGCATTACAAAATGTTCGTATTTGTTATGTTTATGATACAAAATGTAGTTGTGAATCAAATTGTTTGTCTTTCTCAGAAAACTGCCAAGTATATTCATGCCCTTGTTCAAACCCTGGTATGTCTACAAATTCAGGCAAAAATTAATCTTTTAGGCTTGGGAGTGCATTTTTGCACTTATATTTGAATGTTGGTATATTTAAGAGTTTCACAACCTTAAAAAAAATCTAGTTATCTTGGGTCAATATCTGAAGCAAAGGTGCAGATAGGTTACCTAGATCTCTTGGGTAGCCCTCATGCTTTATCCATTCTCTGTGCTCCTCACCATAGTGACAGGCAAAACAACTTCTTAGGCAATGCTAGGGTTCAAGCTTGGAGGCACTCCCTTCCCACAGTCTGCTAGAATGGGGCAAGGCATTTAGTGCTTTGTGATTGGCAGCTTTTTCTGGTAGTGGGAACTGATGGAGGAGGATCCTGAACCCCCAAAAGGAAAAGCCGTAGAGCTTTGCCAGGGACTGGGTTCCTAAATTTGTGGCAAAGTTCAAGGGCTTTTCTTTTTAGGGGTCCAGATCCCCCCCCCCCAATCAGGAATTGCATTAATTAAATAAGTGAAGAAAATTCCATTCACTTATAGTTTCAGGTTAAGACCTGAAAACTTGTCCTCTTCAAGCAGATGAGGGGAACTACAGGTGGATGGAATAAGTCCATTGCGGTCAATCAATAAGCATTTATTAAGAACCTATAATATGCCAGGCACTGTGCTAAGTGCTGGGATGCAAAAAAGGCAACATTACCTAACCCCAAGGGATTCACAAAGTAATAGGGGAACACCACATTGAAAAAGAAACCCAGAAAGGGGGAGGAGGAAGAAAATCTGGTTGGGGGGAGGAAGGGAGGGTTGAGGGGGTGGGGTGGGGTGGATAATAAATACTGGCAGCTGGGGGAGAAATGATGAAATGCTGCCCAGGGCCACCCCCTTAAATGGAGGATATAGGGGAAAGGGGAAAGGCGTAGAAGTAAGAAGATAAATAGGCTGGAGGAGTGACCCCCCCTCTGCTCTCTATAGATAATCTGAAAGGAGCTAATTATCCTTGGATATTGGAAAGCTGACTGTACAGATTTTTTTTTTTCTCACACCATTCCTGACACTTTGTTTCATTGAAAGATGAATTTGTTCTTTAATTTGTGATTTCGGTATCAGTGCTGAATTGAAATCTTTCAATAATTTCAATAATTCTTATTTTTAAGACAATCTTCCTTGAGCGTGCTTTTTCTGGTAACCAACATTTGCATCATCTTTATCTAAGGCTACTCAAAACAAAATGATGTCTATATCTGGTCATTTGGTAAGCAGGGGTGATGTTTGGTTTTTGGCCTTAATTTTACAGATGTCTAGGGTAATAGACAATAATAAATAATAAGTTTTTTGAAATATTTTTTACTCTAAAGTAAATGTTCTTTGAGCTATCTTAATTTATTAATGAAACTTGTAGTTTATTTAGACTCTTATGTGCAGTGTGATGTTAAATCAGTGAAGTTTAGGAATTAAAAGGCAGCTTTCTCTGCTGCTTCCTGAAATGGC